GGACCGGCGCGTCCCTCCTCGGTGCCCCCGGCGGGGCACAAGCAGGAACTGGCGCGTCCCGGCGCGGGCGCTCCCGCCGACCGCACCTTGATCCGCTCCACGCCGGCCTCCAGCTTGAGCTGCTCCACCAGGCGCTGCAGGGCGTTCAGGCTGGCCCCGGCAGACATGGCGGCGGCGCTGGCTCCGAGGGGGACTGCGCGGGCTGGGAAAACCGCCAGGCTGCGAACCCCGGCGCCGCCCCGGGGCGGGGAAGAAGCTGCGCCCGCCCTGTCGCCCGACCGTGCCACGCGGCCGCTCCCGGTCCGCAGCAGCTGGGGTCCCAAGTTCACCGACATTTAACTCCCTTTCTAAACTTACGTGGCACCTGCATCTACACCTGAAACCCGAGGCGGGAACATGCAAATGAAAATTAAATCCAGCGACCTCACCCCCAAGTCGCCATTCGCTTCATTATCACCATTGTTTGTGTTGCGCCGCATGTTCCTTTTTAAAGACGTGTACATAAGTTTGCTTTGCACTGGCATCATGACAGTATGTAAATGCATTTTTGTTGTGTTCTTTTTTTCACTTAAAGCATCATGGCAATTGCCTATTCTCGCACTCCGCTATATTTAACAAACCTCTGGGTAATGCAAGAAGGTAGCAGAGTGGTTTGTGTAACCGAAAAGCCCAGGGATTTTAAAGTGCTGGATTCATTCAAGGATTCGCTTCGAGGATTTCATTCTCCATCTTTGGGTTTGGGCATATTTTCAAAATGTGGGTCCCGCGTTCTCCATGGTAGACAGACCCTCGGTTGCTGTGAGCGAAGGCTTCACTTAGACCCAAGAGCAAGAGCGCCTCTCCTCTAGAGACTTCCGCAGAAATCCCTATTAAGGCTTTCACAGTTACAGCCCACCCCTGAATCTACCATTCTCGACCGCTGGGGTGTAGAACTGCAGCCCGCAAGCGCAAGGTGAGGGGCGGGGTCAGCCCCGCCGCTAGAGGGTGCTGTGGGACGCAGGCGCTCTTCACTCCTTCCCAGAAGCGGACGCTGGCTGCTCGCACCTCAAGGTAAGACTTCTTCAGGGAATTGCCCCAAGCCAGAGCCACCCCAAACAATTCCAACCCAAAGGAGGTGTCTTCACTCCAGCATGGTACCCAGGATAAAGCAAAGAGTTCAAAACTATTCAAAGGTTAAAGAAACAGTGGGTTCAATCACGCTCCTGTGTTACTGTGGATTTGCAAACACGAGACTCTTTCCAGACCCTGCTAAAAAGGAGGAAACTCATTTATGGAGCGCGCAATCTATGCCAGGCACTTTCTCTGTCTTGTTTACCTTAATAATCCTTTAATTAGTAACTACTCTGACAGATGGAGAACAGACTCGAGGTCAACCTTTCCAAAGTCAAGCCGCTGTGGTTGACGATCAGAAGTCAGAGCTTGGTCTCTCAGGCTGCAAAGCATGAGCAGTTCTTTGCAGCCAGCTCTCCTTTCGGGTGTAAAAGTGGGAGGAAGTTTCTCCATCACCTAGTGAAATGGGGAAGAGGAAGCTGTAAGCTGTCTCAAGCCTAAGAATACATGATCCATTCCGCACACAACTCTCAAAGATAACCCGAATCCTTTAGAAAGTTGATTCGAGGTTACAAATAAACCTAGTTTTGATTTAATACTCACTTCTCAGTTGTGGGCAATTGAAAATACCCCAGGCCTACAGAATTTTAAATCCTGATTACCTAAAAAGATCCCCTCATTTCATACATGAGGAAACCAGAAAGGTTACGTAATTTATTCAACAAATTTTATTTCTTAGTTTCTGGATTTGGCCTTGGTGCATATTTAAAGCTGTTCTTCCGCATACGCAGACTGTTTTGTTGTTTTTGCTAGAAACCTGGGTGTAGGCCAGAGGTACAGGGGTCAGAAGATTCAGCAGAGACAGAGTGGGGAGCATAACAGTTGCATCTACTGAAATACACTGAGGGGAGCAGTGGGCGAGACAGGAGAGGTCTGCTGCACCATGTCGGTCACCCCCCTGGCCTTAGTTGCTGCTCAGGCGGAATTAGCATGGGCTTGATCGGGCTGAGACCTACGCCTAGTTCACCAGGAAGGCCTCTTGGTCCATATTTATCACTTTTTGCAAGAAGATTAATTATAATGCATTCAAACACCTTTGTACAAATACCAACATTTATCTGCCTTAAGTGCAAACCTCAACAGAGATGTTGAATTTAATGTTTTGAAGTGACTAGATCAGTTTATACTGACTTTCAAATTTCTCCAGACCTTTCAGTTTGAGGCCAGCAGTTATTTTCCATTCAGCAAACACTAGCTGAATGTTAGCTTAGCAGTTGGCTTCCACTCAAGCAAAATATCTCCATGGTGTGGGTGTTAAAAGTTGGTACTTTACTTATCATAAGAAAAAAGACTGTGAAAGGAAATGAACTATGATTTCCTAGCTACAAATGCAACAGTACTGAAGTAGTTAATTCTCTAAATGCAACTGTTTTTTATGTAACATTTTTAAAATCCTATATAATTGTAGCTTTTGAGATTGTTTGCACTGTCCCTAAAAGGGGAGTTATAAAATAGCAGCCTTTGATTTGTAGAGCCTGGAGACTCCGTAAGATGACAGGACCAGTGGGGAGGTGTTAGTAGTAGATCCTGTTATGAGGCTATCTGGCGTGAATATAACCCTCAGGGAATGAGCATAGACCTCAGGTACTTGAAGTGATAATAAACAGCCATGAACAAATGTTATATAAGCCCCTGTACAGCACATACATTTAAGGCAACTGTGTAATTACTAGGACTGTGAGAGCTTCAACCCAGGATTCCGCCCCAGATGTTTCCAAATTGGAGAAACTTTTGGGTCTTGGTGGGAAGTCAGAGGGCAGAGCATGAACATAGTGGAGATACCCAAAGTACTTGGATGACATTGGTAGCAAATAATGGTCCATCTTTCCTTCTAGGGTTCTGAAGTATAGGGGAGGAGAGGAAAGGGAAGAGTCATATTTTTCTGCTAATGAGAGTTTTATTAATCTTGACCCATGTAATGGCCAAGATTTCAAAAGGCTTTCTGAACTTTAAACAAATGAGTGTTGCTGGGAAAATATCCAGAAAAGAGATTTCTAGAAAAGTAGGAATAAATATAGCAGTCTAACAGCTATGCAAAGCAATCTCCTAAGATACGTTTGGTTGTTGTTTTTTTTTTTTTAAAGTAATTTGGGTGAAATCCTTTTTTTTTTTTTTTTTAAGATTTATTTATTTCTGCATACAGAACTGGGGTATAGGCCAGAGGTGCAGGGGCGGTGAGAGGATTCACCAGAGACAGAGTGGGGAGCAGAACAGGCAAATTGACTGAGATACACTGCTGAGGGGAGCAGCGGGCGGGCCACCTCCAGGGCAGGGATCGAACCTGCACTGCAGAGGCTGCGGCCAGCTTGCAGTGCTGCGGCCTAGCCCATTGCACCACCAGGCAGGGCCCCCTAAAATACGTTTTATCAGTCAATCTTTATCAATGCTAACATATCCCATCGTCTTCTTTTTCCTTATCATTAGGTTAAAAAATATAGTCAATCAGAAATTTCTTAATTATTAATACAAAAACAATCATCTTTTATTAATCTGATTTAAAATGTCATACCAACAACTTATGACATACGGCAATCACTTTATTAAAATGAAGCAATAGGACAAATCCTGTAACCAGGAGTACTGATTCACTACCATGAATATGTCTTGATACTTTGGTATAGTATCACACTTGCTTCAGTCAAATTATGTGTGAATTACTTTCATTTCCACATGTTTAAAACATTTATACTTCATTGTTGAAAAGAATAGTACACAGTCATGCACTTTTTCTTTCTGGTTCAAATGCAGATAAATGCACCATGTACAATGGATTTTTCACTGCTCAAGGACTTCATAATATACGAACAACTTTTCAGAACACTATTTTGTTTTAACTGGAGAGGGGGAAGCAATACTATGGTACTATGGAAGACCCTTTCACAAGGTCTCACCTGGAGATATCTGCGAATACAATTATAGTCCTATAATGACTGTAATCAAGTTCATCCTACAAGGACACAAAGGTAGATTCACTCTCCTGGAGAGTTTCTGATCTTATTAGGAATATTATGACGGGGTGGGGGGGAGTATAAACAGGTTGTAGCAGAAGACTCTCCTAGAGAGATATTTGAACATAATTCAATCCTAGAATGACTGTAATGAAGATATGATAGCTGAATCGTTTTGGTAAAGAAGTTTGTGTCTGGAAAGACACTCACAAAATGTAATTATATGCTGTTGAATTTTTATGTTTTGTAAGAATACAAGAGGACACAAAAGCAGAAAGATGTAGCACTACAACAAAGACTAAGGAGACACTTGAAGAATAAACACTTAACACAAAAATGTCAAATGGTAGCTAATAAATTTTCATGACAAACATATAAAATTCTTAAGTGGCAACTAATAAGTCTTCATGTCAAATTTTTAACAAAATCCACAAACAGATTATAAAAATTGAACAATCATAAATGTTTTATGTATAAAGATTTAGGGAACATTTACAATTCTACATCATTCTGTTTAATCAAATACTTCGGGAATTTTAGTTACTGCTGAGGAGCAGTTCATAAATTTCTAAAATAATTTAGTTATGAAAATAATATTACAATTAAAGTTTGGCATAGTAGCATTTCAGCACTCTTCAGTCATCCACAAATGTCAACCGGCCCGGCCCCTCATTCTTCATCCATCGCCTGTATCTCTTCCATCTAGGATCATTTGCTAACTTTTTCTTTAGTTCTTCTTCTTGTTCTTGTTTATAGACCTATAAGTATAAATAACATTAATTGACTTTACAATCCAAAGAGAAATATTTGTCATTTGCTATTGGGTATTTTTACATTTCTCAAATATAACCTTGTAAAAGTTTCCAATTAATATATTGATTTGTCTTGTGAAGACTATGCATCTAAAAATACCAAGCAATTAATCATTTTAATGTTTTTAAAAAGAAAAAAAAAAACTTGTACATACAAGAGCTAGTAAATTTGGTCATTCATTTCTGTAATCTGGGAATACATTATTTTCCTCATTGAAATCATGCATAAACTGAGTTTAAAGATTTAAACATTTCCTCTGTACAAATAACATCCAATATGAAAAATAACCACTTGAATTTTTTGAACAGGATGCATTATAAGTAGAACTCATAACTTTCAGCACCTGTTGATCCTAACCAAGGTACAATGTGGCCTTATTTATATGCTGTATCCAAACTCAACATCTATTTTTTTTTTAGCTTTTTTTAATTTATTTATGCATACAGAGCTAGGGTGCAGGCCAGAGGTGCAAGGGCAGTGAGAGGATTCACCAGAGACAGAGTGGGGAGCAGAACAGGCAGATCAACGAAGTACACTGCTGAGGGGAGCAGCGGGCGGGTCAGCAGAGGTCTGCATGCCATGTGGGTCACCTTCGGGCTGGGATCAAACTCATGCTGAAGTGGCTTTAGCTTCTCAGTGCTGTGCTTTAACATCAGGGAGGGCCCTAACATCTATTTTTATCTTTAAGGAGAATTAATGCTTTTTCAAATTTTTTAAATTAAAGTTTCTAAAGAAGGTTAAGTGAACCATATAAAGAACAAAGAACAGTCTGCATTTCTATAACTTTTAGTTAATTGAAGCCAAATGGACAAATTTTCATAAACTGTTTCACAGCCACATCAGATTTTTTTTAAAAGCATTATTATTTTATTATTTATGCATATAAGAACTGGGGTGTAGGCCAGAGGTGTGGGCAGTGAGAAAATTCACCAGAGACAGTGAGAAGTAGAATAGGTGGACCTACTGCAATATACTGTTGAGGGAGCAGCTGACGAGACTGGCAAGGTCTTGCCCATGAGCCATGTGGGTCAGCTCCCTAGCTGGGGATCAGATTGTCACAGTGACTGGTGAGAGCTTCATAGTGCGGAGACTTAACCCCTGTATCACTGGGCAAACCCCACATCAAATTTTAAAAATAAATTATTTTACTTCCAAATTTCAGGAAGATAACTGAGATAACCTCATATAGTAACATCTGAACATTCAGCCCAGGATAGCACTCTATGAAATATAAAAGTTTTGTGAACCAGGCTGTTGGGAGTTAAATTATATCACCTTTCACTTTTGTGTTATTTATACATAGGGCTAAATATATTTAATGGCCAAAGCATTCTGGCATTTCATAGTAAATTAAATTACTTAAGTATTATTCAGACTGAAACTTTACTTTGGGTAAAATCTATCTAGGATCCCACATATAAAAGAGCCTTTTTATGAAGCTAAAATAATGAGTACATCTTAAATTTTTATTGAACATTTTATATTAATATACTAACCAATTAGTTTTAGCCAGAACCTATAATAATATAATTAGGATGAGACTGCTCATTACTTTAAAACGTTATTTATTATCTGATTATCTCAAAGAAATTGCTCTAGTTGTTAATTGTAGAATATGGCCCTTGTTAAAAGAGCCAAGGTTTAGGGTATAACAGTACATTAATTTAAGACAGAAGTAACTTTTCAGACATGTTATGCAGAAGATTCTATGCTCATTCATGCTGAGATGAAATTATTTCAACATAATTTGCATCAGAATTTCTCTATCTAAGTGTAATTGTATTGATGTTTGCTTTTTTAATCTCTGTGGCTGTTTTTGGGATTGGAAGTAAACTTAGGGAAGACCAAATCTGAGTTTAGTACAGAGTTGTTATATCCTAGCAAACAAATATCCCACTGCATTATAGCAAATTAGACCACCTTTTAAAAAGACAAAGGTTAAAGACCATTGTTTCACTACCAAATAGTCATATTTTCAATTAAAGTACACATTTTTACTCACTATCAAACTCTTGGACTTCAGACCTCTGCACATACTTCTCATAGGTCTAATTTTCAGCTAGTAAGAAAGATGGCAATGAGATCACGGCAGAGTCATTACTCACCTCATAATTCTCCTTTATCCAGAGCTCCCGTTTAAGAAAAGTTTCTTTCTGATGATCTTCTAGACTATCAAACTGAGACTTTGACATCTTCATAAACTTACGTATGATATACAGCCTTTCCTCTTCCCCATATTCTTTGCCTTTGATGTTAAAATTATAGATCCACTGGCAGTACCACAGTATATATGAGCACAGGTGAAAGGGGGCTAAGAGAATTTGAAATAGGAGAAGGTCACGTATCTGGGGTTTCTGATAGCCCCCCTTTATATCTATTTTACTTTTTATAATGTTCTTTATGATGTTCTCCTCTTCATCACGGATTTCTTCTTTGGACTTTTTGTTTCTGCCCTTCTCTTTGGCTTTTTTGAGCAATCCCTGCTGCTTGGCAATCTCCGTGGCTTGGATTCGATACTTGGGCACTGTGGCTAGGTAGTTGATTGCCTTATCATAGCTATTCCACCAACTGAAAAACTAGAATATTTAACAAGTAAAAATGAGTCATTTTATTACCAAAATTCATCTTGGTGAATACCATTGCCCCAGAAACTCACTCTGCTTATATGTAGGGACCTCAAACATTTTACTCTGCAAGTACAGGCCATAACTGAGTAATGTTCCAGTGTATGTGGGATCATTAGGCTAAACATGTCAGGTAAGCCCTGAGCTGAAACGAAAGTCACTGACTGAGAGAGCCCCAAGTGCAGTGGATGCCCCCGGGGCCATCACGCCACACCTGCTGATTTCACAGCTCAACCCTTGACTTGCCCCCAGGTCACAATGAAGGCACTGCCGTCCTCTTAAGACTGCAGTCTGCACGCTGAAGGAAGAGGGAAATGACAAACTAGCTGATGACAACTGGATTTTAAAAACTCAGGACATAGACTCAGGTGTCTGTATTCCCTCCCTTCTCCTTCCTACACCAGTTATATGTACCACAACAATGCTCACCATATTCTAAATGGAAAGATACAGGTTTATTCTCCAATTATTTGTATGGAAGACCACTCACTTCATAAGTAGATTCAACCACAAAAGGCTTTATTAACAGTCTGAAGAAGTCTATTCACAAAGCACTCTACACATTTCAGTATTGTTTTACTGAGTAAATATATAAGTTATATCAATTAAACCTTGAAATATTATAGCACTCTATTAGTAATAGGGGAGAAAGTGTCTAGGGTGTTTTACTATCTAAAACAGAAAAATAAAACTATTATTTTGTAGAAATACTTCTACAAAAGTTGATACAGTTGAAACACAGGAATTCTTTGGTCATATAAATTTAATCCCGTTTCTGAGAATTAAGCCAGAAAAAGCATTTTTAAATCGACAAAATGCTTCATTCAAGTCACGTGACTATATTCTTCCTCTGAAGAGTCATGATAGGTATAATTAGTTTAAAAATAATTGGAAAAGCTCATTTAAGGCTGAAGTTAAGTTTTTGTGAGAGTTTAAAACAACATAAAAAATGACTATAACTCTTTTAATCTATTTCTTTAGTGTTCAGCCCAAGCACTGGCATCCTTAGCAAGCAAGTGAAACTGTGACATCTCTGGTTGCTCCAAGGAAACCAAATACCACTGGCGGTGGTGGGCAGGTGCCAAGACTGTTGAGACATATTAAGGAGTCCGGTTTTCCCCACGTTTATGGGAAATCATTGAAAAAAATAAAATGTCCTACCAAAGTAAATGATAGGATCTGGCTGTAACACGGAAAATACTCTAGAAGGGGCCATGAGAAAAAGAGCAGTTGGCTTGTTTGTTTTTGTAATACATTCATTATCAGTTTCTTGGAGCACCCACTGATCAAGATTCCAGCATTATCAACTAGTTGAATAAAGGGATCTTTCTAATGTAAAAAACTAGTGTCATCCGGAAGCACCAGACCGCGTGCACTCGTGCATGGTTATGTATGTTGATGTAGATGCTCCTGTCATCAGTACACACCTGGAACAGTGAGATAGCACACACGCTGACCAGAATCACCACTCTGACATCCACTGGGGGGGCCAGACGCCTGCTGTAGTACTGATAGTAATGGCTGTAGTACTCTTCTGGGTGATCCAGCATGTAGTCATAATCCTTCCGTGTTTCTTCATCCTGTAAAATAATGAGACGTCCAGTGTCATAAGACATTTCATAAAAATGGCCTTACTTTATAATTTAATTCAAATCTAGAATTTTAGAATTAATGTAAGGGTAATCCAAGTAAAAAAACTGAAACTGTCAAAATCAAACAATTTTCCAAGATCCAAAAAAACACACACATTTGTTTTTAGAACTTCAAATACTAGGTAGAAAGCATAGTAAAAACATTTCCCAGATTTTTGAGTACCATCCACCCCCACCATTAAAAAATTTTAATAACCATCAACTTTGCCTTTTCAGTCAGTGCTGTGGTGCTAGTAAAGATGTCACTGTGTTCTTATAACTTAAGAACATGTTGACACCTCAAGAACTGTTGATAGAAAAAGTTTTTCTCTATTATCTGTATTCACAATCATTTTCCAGCCTTGTGCAGAAAATTTTCTGTTGAAAGCAAATGTTAAGACAATCAAAAGGAAACAAAGTAGCCTCAGAGAGGCTACAAATCTTCTTGATTTTTAAAAGTGATACCAATGCCTGCAAACTTTAGAAGGTGGTTTTCAACATCAAATGGTTTAAAAACATGTTACAGGTAAGTAGTACCTCAGTATCGAAACACATTTTCCAGCCCAGTTCACAATTGAGTTAACAACATGTAGGCCTTTCTCAGTGATGCAAACAAGGTTAAAAAATTATAGCACTGGGAAGTGCTGTTGTGACTACTCATAAAAACATTTCTTAAAGCCTTCTCTAATTGTACTGAGATCTAATTCTAATAGGGAAAAATCTAACCTTTTAATAAGCTACACAGATCAAAGAGTTATTAAAGCATATTATGATTTGTTTTTTATTCCATAGGAAACCCATTTTTCAACTTGTTTTTCAAAAAATGTTAAAGACTAAAACCACAACAATTCTTTCTCTCTATAAATGAATGCAACAGAATTCATTTTGGAAAAATAAGTTTAATCTAGGAGGACTTCCTGCTAAGATAAATTACTCAGCATTCATAAAGTTGCAGATACTTAGCTAAAGGCACTACAAAATTTGTATTTAGTGCTTTGCCTCTGTAAACATGCTTTAGGGTCTGTTGCAGGCCTTCTCCTGAGACCTTCAACCTGCTGGTTCCTTAATTTGCCAATGACACAATCTTCCCAGTACCCACGCAAATCATTTTGTATTTTCTCCTAAGAATTCTGGATTTGAGTAAGAGCATTGTCAGTGAGAGTTCTTATATGCAAAATATTTTTACCTTTGACTAGAATTTGAAACTAGCTAAACTAGCATCTGATATATTGACATACAAATATATTTAAAGTCTATTCCATGGGTCCACAGGTGATGTGCTAACATGACAACTATCTATTATATAATTCTGTGGAGGGCTGAACTCAGTCTATTTTCAAATTAAGTTCTTATATGTTCTCCTCTGTCAAAAAGGATTTTCTTGTTCAGTGCCACTTGCTGCAATTTTATTCCTTACAGAAACCCTCTTTTCATATTGTAGAGCCTCCTTCCTGATGAGGCTAACACTTGACTAAAGCCAATATCTCATGATGTGTTTCATTTCAGATACCTCAAATTTGGAGGATTATTTTCATCTTCCCTTGTCCTTTGCTTTTAGGACTAATTAAAAGCACTCTGCTTTTAACTCAACCCCCTAATTTTGGCAGATGCCTTTTGAAATGCGGCTCTTTACATACAATTCTTCTCCTTGCTTCAACTAGGCTACATGTAGCTTTGAAAGGGCCTGCAACACAGATCAGACTCCTCCAGTTCTCCAGCATAGCTCTCCACAGCGGCCCTTGCCCAGCTGGGCTGACTAGACTCTTTTTGGCCACCGTATCACCAAGATCTTGGAGTGTTGTTGAACTGCTACATAGATGTTACACATCCAGTGCTTTTCTTCTGTCTTCTTCATTCTTATCTTAGTGAAGATCAGGAATTCCTCTTTAATAAGCACTTTGCCCAGATTTTTACCCAGGATTACCATTTTCTCACTGATCTTCACATATGTGACTCATCAAGTCCTAAGTTCCTCTAACACAATGGTCAACAAATGCTCCAACACCAGCAACTCCACAATCTGGCCCTGTGTCTGGCTTCTCTACAGCAGCCAGAGCCTTGGGGTATGTTCAAGGCCCTCTGAAGAGTTCTCAAACTACCGGCCCAGCAAATGGTTTCAGGGTCAAGCCAGATATATCTTAGGATTGTGTTCTTTTCCTTGAGGTCACCATAAATGTGTGACTCTGTTTTGGTCCTGGTTAGAGACAAGAACATCAGTGAGCTCCTGGGTAGAGCATTTAATCAATCAGAAATCGCCTGAGGTACTTATACGTTAGGTGTTTGTTCATGGCCGGCACAAATTGGAGAGGTAGTTCTCAAGAGGCTAAATCAAAGCCCTTTAGTGACCAAAGTTTAGAATCAACCTTGTAGGAAAACTAGAATACCCAGAATGTTAGCAAAAAAGAAAAGACAGAGTCTGGAAACAATTAGAGAGCAATAGGTGCATTGTTTTTTGAATTATCACCTATTTCTTTCTTTCTTCTACCCACCTTGGAACTAAGGGAGCTCCAATGTTTCCCTGTAGCTAGTAAGTTAAAATTTCCTTGGCCCAAACTTACCGAACTTAGCAACATCTCACCTCCTCTCTTTTACCCAGACAAACATTCTGATAGCAGTTTCTAGAATTTGGTTTATTTTCCCAGGACAGCAGTCTCCTTAATACCTATGTCTTTAAACATATAATTTCTAAATCAAATGTCCACCCCTTACCTCCCCTCTCATGAGTCCCTATGAATCCTCTAAGACACAAAGGTTACTACCTCAGCAGATCACCCGTTATGCTTAGTACCCATTTATTATAGCACTTATCACATTGTAATCAGTCTTTTCTTTCCCTTATATGAGGACATCTAGAAGACAGGTAGGGATAACTTGTCTCTGTATATCCAAAGCCTAGCACAGTGCCTGGCATTCAGAAATGTCATTTCAAAAACTAAGTGAAATCCTGCAAAGGCTCCCTCACTATCACCATCTTTCCAGCCACAAGGGTCTGCACCCCACCCAGAAGGCTAGATGGTGATCACATCACAAAAACTTTGGCTTGATTTCACAGCTATCAAATATGCTAATGTGGCTAAAATGGCTTACACCTTAAAACAGTTTAATATCTTACCTTTCAATAAGGTAGTACTCTTTCAGCAATTTTGTGGATCTTAAGGTCCCAGGGTCAGGAGATTCCAACTTCTGTGCAAAACCAAAACCTTTATACTTGTTTCTTCCTCCTCTCTGTCCTGAGTCTTGACAAGCAGGGCAATAAGCTCCTTGTTTCTAATCTCTACAGGAAAAAATGGTGCTTCTGCTGGTCCACGCCACTCCCAATCCTCTGGGCATATGCAGGAGGACTGGAACACAACCACCAATATCTAGATCAAAAGTGAACAAGAGGAAACCCACAAGCAACGAGAGCACTGAACCCTTCCTTCTCTTATGAAGTTGGTCACTCCCCCCTCCCCAGAGGCAAAATATATTATGCTCTTGCCCTTAAAATATCGAATGGTGTGATCTCAACAAACACAAATTGCAATAAGTTCATACTGCAGCCAGTTTCACATTAAAATGTGTCTATTAAAAAGAAGTAGAAAACCATCTTAGGATGGTAAAGGCCAGGAAACAAAAATATATGAAATTCCATATTTTGTTGACTCTTAAAAATATATATTAATCCTTTTTTAACAGAAATGCACACACACAAATACCCTGTTAAAAAATAAAACCTGTTCCCTTAGTTTTTCCAGGCCATTACATCCTACTAAAGAGGAAGAAAATTACCTGCTATCGGTTTCATTTCTTTTCTTGAAGTACTCTGCCCACTAACGCTCATGCAACTACCCTCTTCTCATCTACAGGTGGCCTCAACAACTTCCAAAGTTCACAATATCACCTATATGCTAAAGACTGTCACGCCTGTTTTTCCTGCCTCTACTTTCAAATAGACCCTGAACATTTCCCAAATACAAGATAAACATCTTAAATTCAACATGCTCAACATCCAAAGCTGCTGTTCTGTATTTCAGCTACAGTATCACCACCGACTTGGTTACCTAAGCTTTAACAAGTAATAGTAATGTGCTATCCAGCAAATAGTAAAATAGACCACCGTGTCTTGTACTGAACACAAAGGAAGGTAGAAGATAAGTAAGATTTGGTCCTGGCCTCAGGAACACTCCATCTGAAGACTCCAGGAAGCAAATGATGCAACACATGCTGAGTTATTAAGGACCAAGTAACTCTGCCTGCCACTACTGGTCACCGGGCTTAGGAGAGATGAAACAAGTGCTGGATTTTGAAAGTAAGTTCAATGTGGTAAAATGTGTTCTAAGTGAAGGAATAGCAAGTGTTTTAAAAATGTTAAAAGGTACAGAAGCGTCAGCGATGCCAATGGCTTCCTTTGGGAAGTCTAGAAATGGGGAAATTTAGAAAGAACGAAGCAGTAAATGTGGTCAGGAAGACAGGTTTGGATTTAACAGGTGTGGATCTTACATGCCAACTATTAAAGAGTTAGGGTGTTATCTACTGCACTATACAAAATGTTGCAAAGTATGAGAACAGCATTAATTTGTGTGTATGTGTGTATGTGTATAAATAACTGATAGTAATATAAAGACGAGAATGAAGGGAAAACGGATTTACAGACTAAGGAGTAAAATAAATAGGACTCAGTGACGAAAGGGTAAGGAGATGTTGACCATGCAGATAAGTTGCTCATCGTAGCTACTAAGTAGACCCCTAAGGCAGTGACAGTGAAGGCCAAGGACCCCAAGTCCCGGGAAGCCGGGCAGACCTACGGAAGCCTGGGAAGTGGGGGAGAAAGCTAGTGGATATCCTTTCCACCCCCCAGAGCGTCCAGGGCACATCTGTTTCTGTAGGAGAGGTGTATTTCCGTTTGTTTTAGACAAACCCATTTTAACTTTTGTTTAGAAAGAAGCAACTGTTAAAAAATGGTAGTGATA